AGAAGCCGGGGCTGCCACCAGGACGGCCAGGACCCGCAGCGTGCCCACCACACAGCGGTCACAGTCACTGCAAAGGAGCCGCCCGGGACGCCGCCAGCGCTCCAACGCTCCGCCCTGCAATGGGCAACTGGGGCGGCTCCTCTGCTGCCCTGGCTCCGTGTGAAGCACTCAGGGCCGTGAGACTGCAAGCTCTTACGAGGGTATTTGTCCCCTGGGAGCAGGGCAGGAGGGGGAGCGCGAGGGCCAGGCAGGGCACTGACAGGGATGAACAGGAGTCTCACCAAACTCCCCTCCTTGGCCGTCTTACCAGCCCTAACACTTCAGCTCGCCCAGATGCGAGTGTCCTGCCAGCATCTCCTGTGGCAGGCAGCACGGTCTTGGTGGAAAACCTGCCCCAGGGCTCGTGAAAGGCAAGAAAGCATTTAAACCTACCTGTTTGTACGTTCTCTCGGCAACACACATCATGAAGAAAAATATCCAGGTTAAGCAAAGTCTTTCAAGGAAGTTGATCACAGACAGAACAATAACGGGAGTGCTCACAGGAGCTCCACAGAAGATGTGCAAAAGCTCCTTTAGAGAGAAGGAGCAGAGTTGCTCCAGGTTATCCGCGCGGAACAGTCTGTAGAGGAACGGCAGGGACGCTAATCCAATGGTAATGATGTTTCCCAGCATCTGATACCCCACTCCTTGCTGGTAGGCATTAACCTGGCAAACAGAGACATAAACATGATGATTACCCGGAGTTTGCTCAGGGAAAGGCGGCAGCATTAATTCACTTGAGCATTCAGTTCCCCTTCCCTTCAAAGGACATAGCCTAAAATAATCCCATCTATTTCGGTTCAAAACCAACAACAGTCGGTCAACAAATAATAAAGCCTCCACCCTCAGCACACGGCAGAGATGGAGCTGGCAGCCGTTGGCACTCCTGTCCTGTTCTGTTCTAGCTCAAACCAGGACAACTCTTCAACAGGACCTCCTCATTTTGGGTTATACAACTTTTAAGTAAGACCATTTGAGACAACTGTATTTGCATTTAAGGAGGGACCAGTTTCATACTACACCTCATATTTGCATGTGCAGCTATTTTCAGGGGGTGGCTGGTTTTTAAAGCGTGAGGGAGAGAGGTTACAATGCCTTACAGCCCTTACCCTGCTCATGATAATCCCACTGATCTCCAGCACAGACATGTCCACCTTCTTGCAGTCATTCCCCTCCCAGATCAGCGCGCTCACTTTGGCAGACGCTGGACTTGTATTCTGCAGCCAAAACAAATGGTTCTATAAAAGAGAAAAGGATGCAGAAGGCACATAAACTATTTCTGTCTTGCTGTTAAATAACAGGTTTTCCTAAAAACCATTCAGATTGAGAGGGGTATTCCAAATTTGTCTCTGGGTGAAATACTTTGGTTTAGGATTAGCAGTGGTCCAGATAATCCCGGAGAGGCAGAGGTCCCTGATACTATTTCGATCACTGCAGCCATCAGCGTGATCAGCACAGGTGGCAGAACGGGCTCACCCCAGCAGCAGGTCCCTCCCATCAGACCCGCAGCCTTCAGCCGTGTCTCTCGTATTGTCTGGGCAGGCAGGGCAAGAGGTGAGGACGGGAACGGTTCACAGCGTTCTCAGCCGCTGGATACAAATCAACAAACCTGCTGGAAAACGTCGTCCTTCAGATCCCGCCTGGCCCCTCTCACAGCCGTGTCCTCGCTGTCGCTGGTGCAGGACGAACGGCACTCCGGCCCGTGCAGCAGATCATCCCAGAGCATGTCCTCTGTCTCGGAGTCATGGCGAGTGCTTTCCGAGTCGCGCCGGGTCATGCTGCAGCTCCGGGACCTCAAGCTGGCGCAGGACCTCGAGTCCTGTGAAGAGCAGCAAAATTCATACAGCTCAGCCCCACCCCCACCCGCAGAACCTCCTCGTCCTCCCCCGCAGCCATCAGCCCCACGGCTGCCTGTACCTGGATAGACAGTGTGGATTCCAGTTCGGATTCCACGACACTGTCAGAGTCTCTGGCACCTTCCAGGGCTTTCTTGACCTGCCAAAACCAAAGGAAAAGCAGCTCATTACCCACAGCAAAAAACTGTGCAGAAAACAGCATAAACTCAACTCAAGTACCTGTGAGACAGCCTGGTGCAGAGAAAGAAGAGGCCTCCTCTCCTCCTCGTAGCTATTGTCACTGGAAGCCCCTTCCATGTTCTGGTGTAACAAGACCCTTTGTGCCATGGCTTCAGCATCCTCCTCACTCGAAAGCTCCTCAGAGACGCCCCCTGTGTTGGCACAGTCATCCTAGAAATGCAGCAGCCCGGGTGAGAGTAAGGCACCGATAAACCATATCAAACCAAAGGTTCAAAGCCCGTTCTGCGACCACGTCACCCCAGAGTCAGCGCTAATTCCCTGCAAAAGCCAGCAGAGGACATCTCCACAGAACATGCTGAACAGAACCCAGCTTGGCATCACAGAGACATTGCAAATTTAAACTTGTTACCCCCACCCTTGCCTTGTCACAGAGGTAATGAGAGGGAATCCTGAGTGGAGGTGCATTTGGGTTAAGCATCAAGAAACTTTTGGGCACAGAACACACTCAAACTGGCACCTTCAAATGATCTTTCCCGCCAGTACCTGATGGCTCTTTTCCCCATCGGAAAGTTTATTTTTCTCTTTGAAGTGTAACAGCCTGGATTCAGATCTGCCATGTCTGTGTTTAATGCTGTTATCCACAGCATTCACACCATTTTCTGTCTCAGTCCCTTTCTCAGCTACCAACTTTATTCTTCTAATTCTACGAGAGAAAATACAATTAAGTGCTTTTATGTGAGAGAAAAATATTGTGGTCTCTTTCACGTGCAGCGGAGGTACAACATTAAACAACACAGCTACGGGAGTGCACAATTCAGCTGACAGGCAATTTGTGTTCTGATTCTGCTGAAGAGACACCTGCTCCACTCTCACTGCACGGTTCTTTGTAACTCTAACAGCATTTTAGAATTTCTAAACCAAGAAGGAATTTTGCGCTTATTATTATTTCGGGGGGGGGAAAAAACACCAAAAAAAAACGCAATTCAGAAGACAAAAAGTCCTCATCAAGAGAAAAAAACTGTCAGTTGAAAATTCATCAAGAAACTCACCTGACAAAACAGTAGAAGAGAATGAAATATTATCCCAAACAATCCAATCTACCCTCCTTTCCTCAGGTTACTTTTAGAAAAAATAAGGTGGTAAAGTGGGATGACTATCCAAGCAACTGAAACCAGAAGGCACGTTTGCTTCTGGAAATCAGGTAGGACAGTAATATAATCTGAGTATACACATTCAAGAGAGGTCACTTATCTAACAAATTCAAAACAGCTCTGCCAGTTTCTGCAACCCATCTGACACTCCACTTTAGCTCTACTGTGATCTCCTAATAAGGACATACTAGAAATTCATAGGGCATCAGCCACCTACAATACCAAGAGTGCTTTTAGTTCAAAAGAAACTAACGGGCGGACTTTGGGGATGTCAGTGACAGTATACGTTCTGTCTTCATTTTCAGATATCAAATTGCTCACAGTGCCATTACAAACACAACCAACCCAGTGAAAACCACATACCTCCTTCGGAAAAGCATGTTAAATAAATTAAGAATAGATGCAGATTCAGACTCCTCTTCTTTACTGTTTTTGTCAGGAGAAGACCAACAGTTCCCATCGACACCCACAGATTTGCGTAGCTTCCTGATTTTTTAAAAAAGGAAAATTACATTTGCATAGCAAGTACTTCAGGTTTTTCTGATCTCAGTCAGACTTGAACTGCTTTGTAGATGCTATTTTTCATCACATGCTTGGATGCCAGCAAGCGAACCCACAACCCCGCTCACCTCCTCCGCCTGCTGAGCCCATTGGCTCCTGCAGGTTTGCTGATCTGGGTGGACACGATCTGACAGTGCACAGTCCCCATCAGCAGCATAAGGCACATCGGTCCCAGGACTTCACTTGCGTTCACAACCGGCATCATGAAGTACAACACGACTGCTATGACTGAAAAGGAGGAGATTGTGTCAGATACAAAAACCAAGGGCACAGCCCAGCGCTCCTCTCTTCACTATTTATTTTTACTCTGTTTTGTAATTTCTGAAAATAATGGTGCCACACATCCCAAAATCTACATTCAGCAGGTTTCAGACAGGAACCTTACACTTTAGATGATGGGCTACAGAATGATGTCATGTTCCTTGCAGAAAAAGGACTGAGGAACAGACTGCTGCCACCCCTTACCTTGCATAACGTAGAGCACCAGGAGCCACATAAAAATACGCTGGGAGGTAACTTGTATCCACCACTGGCTAAATAATGGAAAAAATACAACTCTTACAATTCCTTTCCGAGTTAGTGATGTCCAGGGGATTTCAGGCTTGGCTTTGGCAAACGTAGAGCCTTAGAATTAAAGGGAAAACAAACAAGTAATTAACTGTGAATTACAAGAATTTCCTTATTTGTGACTCCTCTTTGGCCGAGACGGAACCCT